GACAACAGAATATCCAGTCAAAGCCTAGGTCAAACATGACCTAACCCAAGTCAAAGTCAAACCTGTTCAGTCAATTCACAATCCTCAACAATTCAATTCAAACAATCAATTTAATTCAATTAACCAATTTAGCCAAATTATAGCATAAACACATATAACGATCCAAACCATTAAATCTATTCTGAATGCTATTAACTTCATAGTACGGACCTGGATTACGTCGAAATCGAATCGATAGCTCGAACGGAAGACAAATCAACGAAATCAACCGAACGGGTCAAATCGAGTCAAAATACGAAATCGACCAATCAATCCGGCGTGGGGGTTAATCTGCCGGCGATATCAACTCGGGGCAGCGGCCGGATGCGGCGACGGTGACGGACGCCGGCGACAGTGGCGGAGCGGCAGTTCGACGGCGATGAGCAGCGACTGGCGGCGCTGCAATCGACGGCGGCGCTGCACTCGACGGCGGCGGGTGGCCGCTGTGCAAAGGGCGACGGCGGCTGGAAGCTCGGGCGACGGCGACTCTCGATTCCGTCGAGGGCGAAACAGCGGCGTCCGGCGTTTGGCGACGTCCTCCGTTTGGCGTGGCGGCGCTGCACCCGTCGGCGATGATGGCGGCGAGGCTGGGGAAGGAAACAGCGGCGGCGACCGGCTGGGGAAGGGCGACGCCGGCGGCTGGCTGCTCCAATTGGACGGCGACAACCGCGGCTCGAAGATTGGGAACCGTGGTCGGCGGCGCTGGACCTGGCGGCAAGCGACGGGGCAGTGGCGAGGAAAGGCAGCAGTCGTGCGGCGAGGAGGCGGAGGTCGATCGGCGGCTTGCTCACGGCGGCGACGATCGGCGAAGGAGAAGAAGAAGAAGGAGAAGAAGAAGGAAGAAGAAGAAGGGCGAAGAAGAAGAAGAAAAAGGAGAAGGACGGAAAAGAAGGATAAGGTTTGTGTGGTAGATAATAGGTTTAGGTTTAATTAATGGTCTCATTCCAAAAAGGATTGGGCTTCGGACCCAAAATACCTGATTAAATTGTCATAACTTGAGCTCTGTAACTCCGATTCGCGAGTCGTCTGAACCGACGCGATCACAAAAATATTTCCTACGAGATGACATAAAAGTTGGGCTTAAAATCCAAATTAAAATTTCAGCCCCTTATTGGGCCCAATTCGTAATCAATTGCTCTAACAATTTAATTAATTCTTTTGGGCCAGGTTTCGGGGCGTTACATTTACTCTTCTCTCTACTTCTCTTTTATTTATTTTTAATTCCTGCGATTTCTTGATCAAACACTATTCACCCCCCTCTAGCGTTGGTCTATTATTCTAACAGGTTTGGCATTATAAAAACGTGTCATAAAAACGAACACGACTTTAGTACGAAAACGTGATAAACTTGTGTTTCAACGATTTCCCCCTTTTGGATAATGTCAAACAAGACGGGGTTATGCATAGGAGGATTGATTTGAGACTTAAAAAATGTTCCCCCTTAATAAATGCAATTTTATTTTCAACAAAGTTTATGTGTTGAATAAGAGTTAGTTTTAGAAAAAATTCCCCCTCAATCTATGCATAACCTTTATATCTTCCCCCTTTTGACATTAACAAAAAGAATTAAAAGTAAACTTTTATTCATTAAAAGGGAGATGTGGAATACAACGGATAAAAATACAATCATATTTAATAAGGAGAAAATAAAGAAGAGATCATGGCGTCGGTGTTGGCCTTTTTCTTTGAAGCCTCGGTTTTGGTCCTCGACTTTTTTCTGGCCATTGTTGAAGCATTTAGAAAGTGAGTAGAGGCTTAAAGTATGCAAAAGGAATATAAATTGTGTGTTAAAAATGACCAAGGATGGTTAATATTTATAGGAAAAGATAATTTGGGCCCTTGGTGTTCAAAAGTATGCCTGTTGGGCATTGAATGAGGTGCCCAACGCCTATGATTTTTGAACTGCAACAGGCTTCCCAGCGATGGTAAGGTTCTCCCATCAATGGGAAGACAACTACTGGAAAGGGAGGAAAAATTGAAGGCAGCCTTCCCAGCGATGTGAAGATTCTCCCATCGATGGGAAGACAACTACTGGAAATCCGTTAAAAATTTAAAAAAACAAGTGTCAAACACCCAGCGATGGGAAGAAGTTCCCATCGATGAGAAGAGGGATGCTAATTAGAAAATACTTCCTTCCCGACGATGGGATAAACTACCCATCGCTGGTTCCCCCTGACTTCCTGATTTCCTCTTGACTTTGAAACGTTCCTGCAAAGCAATACTTTGGTACCCAAAATAAAATGTCTATGGGTCCTTGGCGCTTAGTTAACTTTATTGCCCACACACACCCAAAATTTGTTTCCATACTCGCACACACACACACACAATTAGATGATTGTTTAGAAGTTACCTTGGTCAACCCATCGTCTTGTGGTTGGTGGGTTCCAGTCTACCTGAACAGAGTGCCGATATCTTGGTGTGATTTGTGTCGGTTCCGATAATGTAATGCGGACTTTCTTCTTTTCGTCAAAGTAGAAGAAATAGTAAGGTTTTTTTGTGCATTATCCTATGGAGATTGTTTATGATATGAATATCCTTTTCCAAAGGATTTTTTTTCGTTAGCACCAAAAATGTTGTATGTTTCATTATAGGTGAAATGTCTATGTCTGGTAAAACACACGGGAGCTATATGTCCTACCCTATTGCAATAATGGCATACTACGTTTGAGTTGAACATATGCCTATGTTGATAATAGCTAGGGGGCCTAACCATGTTTGTCCTATTTTGAGGAAAGGATGGTTTATGCATGTTTTCAAAAGGATCATTTCTAGGTATTCTAATATTGTTTCTTATATCTTGAGAAAAATTATTTTTATGCACAAAATCATTTTGGTAGTTTTTGGCAATATTGTTCTTATTTTTAACTGCTTAATATCATTGTTGGTTTGGCAATATTGTTCTTATTTAGAACATATTGTCCCTTTGTGGCATTTTTTTTTACAAATTCTCTTTTAAAGAAAACTCTTACCATCTTTTTCCCGGCATTGTTTAAGGGGAAAGGTTATCGGTTGGTAATGCCAAAAGGGGGAAGGAAGGATAGTTGAGAAAAATTTTTTTTCTTTCGCTTATTACTCCGATGATTATTTTTACTGCACTTCTCTAACTTTGCAGGGGGGATTTTTCTTAAAAGGAAGTAATTTCTGAACTCTTACTTTGCTCTTTCTCAACTATGTTTGTCATTATCAAAAAGGGGGAAATTGTTGGACATGAGTTCAAACCCCTTTTCTATTTCTTCTAGAATATTTTTGTTTTGATGAATGACAAACAGGATGATTAATTTCCAGCTTATCGAAAATTTATTTTTCATATCGAGAAAACGCAAAGAAGGGTATCAAGAAGTTTACGGCGATATAAATCGACGACCACCCCTACGCAGATTTTTTAAGTGAAGAGAAGACTCCGAAGACTTTTTATTTTAGTCTAGGAATATTTGTAAGGATGACAATATCTTCTGCACAAACAAATTAATTTCTGAGGGATAAAAATTATTATTATTTTTTGAGTCAGTTGAAAAATTACTTTTCCTCAGTCTAAAATATTTTACTGAGTCAGTCTCAAAATAAGTGTGTCAAAACTTCTTAAAAACATTTTTTAAGATTACACAATTTTTTTTTTAAGAAAAAATATACCTTAAATATTTTTCGTGTACATCATTTGACACACAAAATAATTTTTGGACTCTTTTTTTCTCCCACTCAAATTAATTGAGTAGGAACGTCCGTTGTCCTTTGATATTCCCGTTGTCCAAAACAACGAGTTAGAAGGCAAAGGGCTTCCAATCGCGCTTGGCTTGGCCCCTTTATGTTTGCGCATTATTTTTACTTTAATCGATTAATTATTCTAAAATAATCAATTAGATCCAATTTCACAGCGCTGGATTTCTCAAGCCTTCATTATTAATCGATTTTTCTTACTCTTTTAATCGATTAATTCTCACAGCGCAGACTAATCGATTTTTCCTTCAAAATTAATCGATAAAGATTGCATTTCTCGCTGAAGCTTTTTTCTTAAATTAATTGATTAATCTTCTTCATTTAATCGATTAGTTGAGACAGCGCCATCTAATCGATTACTTTGTCAAAATTAATCGATTATTTTGCACCCTGCGCAAAAGCCTCTTTCTCTTCTGTACACTTTAATCGATTAAAATTCCTAAATTAATCGATTAATTCTGTCTGGTGCATATCATCAGCCTTCTTCAACGGCTTTATTTTCCTCAGCCTATTTAATCCCTCATTCTCCTTCATTTCAATACACACCTCTTGTACTCTAATATATTCTTTGAGCTATATTCATCCTTTCCTCCATCTTCCTCATCAAAATATTATTTTTGGGAGTTAGAAATATTTTCTTTGTGTGCTAAAGAAGTTGTCATCCATAGAGCTTAAATTCTTCAACACTACTTTGCTCAATTGTGTGCCTCTAGAGTTGCACGTTTGTCTAACAATTGGTATCGGAGCAGGAAGTTCTTCGAATACGGTATTTTTCAGGAACCAAAAGATCAAATGGCATCAAGAATGTTCAACGCAGGAGTAAACGAGGGACAATCAACCACGAGGCCACCATTGTTTGATGGAACCAACTACTCGTATTGGAAGGAGAGAATGAGAATCTTTATCCAATCCAACGACTACAAGCTGTGGTTGATTGTGAAGAACGGCTGCGGAGTCCCGATGAAGAAAGTCGGTGAAGTCAATGTTCCCAAAACCGAAGAAGAGTTCACCGACGAAGATTGCAAAAAGATGGAGCTCAACGCCAAGGCAATAAACATGATTTATTGCGGTGTTAACGCGGATGACTACCGCAAAATCTCGCGGTGTGAAACCGCAAAACAAATGTGGGAGAAATTG